TATTTACAACATAGTTCAGACAATATCTTTGTAGTTGCATCCTATATTGGATATAGTATATGAACAAAGTCGCACATGAACAGCACAAAGAAACAAGAAAAAATTACCTACTTTAGCAAACATAGCTACTATATCTAGTTAAAAGTATTGAATTCAGATGAATCTAATATCGCAAAGCAATATCTCGTTAAGTGTCTACTTGTGCACACCCAAATTTGAAAGACATAAATGTGAAATGAGCTGGCCAATTAGTTAAATGACATATTTATGTATTGCGCCAAAAAGGCGGAATGGTCTGATGGACCCTTATACTTGTATGAATTTGTATTATGAATCCTTCTACTTAATCATTTACCAAATGAACCCCTGAACCCATTGAAATTTAGTATTTTAAACCCTTTTCTCACATGGTGGATAGTGCGTGTAATACACCTCCTACATGTCAAATTCCACCTCATTTTTAACTGCCACGTACGAAATAAAATGGTAAAATTAAATTAAAGTCCCAAATTTTTATTTGAAAATTCTTTTTCTCCTTTTCCAATTATCTTCTAGATTTCTCTTCTTCGTCCTTTCTCATTCCAAAGGTTTTCACTAGTAAAATCTCACGACTCGTTCAAATTACTCAACCCTCATATTTTCTTATTCACTCATCCTCCATATTTCTTTTTCTTCCCCTCTTTGTAATTTTGGATCAATCTAACTTTTTAGTTTTTTATGATTTTGTGTTCTGACGATTTGTAGAAATTGGTGTTGTTGATAGCTCCGACGATGTTAAGTTCGGAGGAAACGAAATACTTGTTGAAGAATAGGATCGATAAGTCTATTTATTTGTTTGGAGCAATGAAAGAAATTTGTTACTTGTGAAAATTCTTTGTAGAGTAATAAAAACTGAATTTGTTCAAGAAATAAATGATCCTTTGAAGAAGATGAAAGGAAACCAACCTGAAACAAGTAAAAAAATGGAGAAAAATTTGGAGATAAGTAGAAAATCCCCCAAAAAAAGCTTTTTTTTTTGTCCAACAATGGTATATGAATAAATGGGGAAGAAGATACTCTAAATTAGGTCAAAACTTGACATTTTCAATTTTTTTGAAGACCTCACGCTCTTGAAATATGTGTATTACACGCACTTTAAATAAAAATGCGACATAGGATGACAGGTCAAAAAAAGGGTTTAAAATATCAAGTTTCAATAGGTTTAGGGGTTTAGTTGATAAAATATTAAGTAGAAGGGTCCATAATACAAACTCATACAAGTACAAGGGCCCATCAGACCATTCGCCCGCCAAAAATAAAAGACTACATCATGAGAGATACATGTTTTATTTTAAGATGAATGATATAGATTTTAATCAACTAACATTTATATTAATTAAAAATATAGTACCTGAGTGAAGAATACTAGGAGAACCAGTACTTTCATGGCAAAATAGAGAATCCTTAGGAGTTTGAAACAACTTGTTGCCCATGATTTAACAATTCTTCTCTTTTCTTTGGTGAAATGTTAGAAAATTTATGTAAATATTGAAATTGGGTTGACAAGCTTGTTTTACCACAAAGTATAAATGTTCCAATCCTTGTTGATAATAGCCATAGTGCTAATTTGCACAAGTTCAGCCTTGGATGTTGCAATCTATTACTTATCATCCATGCCATCTGAAAAATAAATAATAAATTAAAATTGTGGATGAGATGATTAATACTCTTAGTCAGTTCTGGAGATAGAATTTTCACTAAAGGGTTAATCACGTAGTACTATACATACGAAAAAAAGACCTTATATATACTTACATGTTGAGGAGTTCCATTCATAGATGCTGAAGTTTGGAGGAAGTTAATGAAGGGAAAATACATTAAAAAACCTCTGAACTTGGCACGAAAACTTACTTTAGTACTTAAACTACATGAATGTTTAAATACCCCCTAAACATCTTTGAAGTGATTAAAACACCCCCTAAGGGATGATGTGGCAGAGAGAGTGAGTGCACTCTCCTAAAAGTGCATGAAAACAGAGAAAAAAAAGCTGAATTTTTAAAGCCCTACACATGGCCTTTTTTT